AAAAGTTCATCCAGCTCAATTTAGTCCGGATTAAAGAGGTTTCAGAGGGGGTAGGGACTATTATGATCTCTCCCAATGGGAACCCAGTGGGGTACCTTGACTCGTACCTCCACCCTTGTATACAAGTCCTTAGATCGGTGCCTGAAGACCGTCCAAGAGCAATAACTAGCTTATCCTCTTGCGACTCCACTATCCCTGCTTTAGTGGTGCTATGCCCCCCCGATCGGGGCACATAGACTTTTTTCCTCTACCCTTTCTATCCGAAACCACACAGTTAACTGTAGTCCTACTCGACCAGCCTACACACCTCCCATCAAGCTCATCCCAACGATGAAACACAGTTTTGCTCTACACTTGCATACCACTGCCCACCCATGATCAATTAGCCTATAATTTTATGTATGCACCCCGGACCGACATCAGCTCCTCAGCAATGTAGGGTGCCTGTCGCATCAGGTAATGCACGCCCCTCGCACTTGCCAGCACATCGTAAATGGCCACAAGCCACGAGAGTGCTTTTAAACAGTCTCGTTTTTTAATAGAGACGGCGGTGGTGTGAGTTAAAGTTATAGACAAAAGCTGTGATTTTCTCCCTCTGAGTTCACTTCACCAGCTCATGCAGATACGGGGAGGTATTTGACACACATTCCCCGGAGCTGCAGCAGCTGGAGCCGTGTTTTTTTTTAGAGGCGCTGGGGGTAATATCTATGGCTGCTTTAGTTAACTGCTAGTGTTGGCCGCTGAAACCCCCGGAATCTCGGCGATTTGTTCATTACAAATCTCTATTTTGATTTCACACAGAAGTTCCACTTTACTGCTGCCCTCATTAAGGTTTTTTTTTAAACATCTCCGTGTATGCCTGCACGGCACATACGTCCGAGCATCACACACAGAGGGAACCAGCCAGGACAGAGTCCCTGGATGATCCCCTGGGGTTAATAGCCCCAAATGTTCATTAACCAAAACGAAACGCAGCTGCTTAGCTTCACAGATAATTTTAGGATACCGTCAATCACAGATTCTGGTAAGGCAATGTCCAAATGTAGATTTGAAATCACACTTACCAGTCTCTGAAGATATGTTGGTATCCTGCCGACAACGCCAATTTGTGGAGGAAACTTCTGTGTAGTAATGCATGGAGTCACCGACTCAGGAAGGAGACACGGTGAGAGTTGGAGCTTTGATGTCAAACACTGATGGGTTTATTCAGAGTATTCGGCCGGAGGATTCACATCACAAATCAAAGAGTCAGAGGTTCTGACCACACGGTAGAGTTGCCACGTCAATTCTGAAGAACCTCTCTCTATGCTAGACCTTTTAACAGGTTCACAGAGAGAAATCAACATCTCTGAAGGAGTAGACTAAACACTGAATCATCTGCGTCCAACGCTCATGGCCTCAAGGATTTCACATCCTAGAGCCCACAAACACCGATAAAGAAGTGCTTCAGTGTTCTCACAACAATTACCCTTCGTGCCAGTCAAGTTGACCGGTCTCACACTGGGGACAACAACACATATGGCACCAAGGCCTTTCCTTAGAGGAGATAACATATGTCAGAGTAAAAGGTTAGATATCTAGAAGAATTATTCCTTAACAGGAAGCATTAATATATACCCACATGCCAGCTCATTGTTACTTTGTAATTCTACTCCACTACAATTCAGAGGTTAACCTGGTATTTTTACTCCACTACATTTATTTTAGTTACTTTGCAGATTCTGATTAATGATGTGAAATATAAACAACCCTTAAAGCAGACTTTAGTTACACCTGAGTGAAATTCAGGAAAGGTGATTGTCAAGTGCCAACAATCAGGAGAGATATTAGTTGGTGCTTGAGAAGACTAAACATTTATCTGCAGATCTCTATAAAGTATATTCATTACTCGTTATTCTCTACTAATAGTTAATTAAAGACTGTATATAATAGCTATTTTGCACATCCCTTTCAAGATTTTCTAAGGTTTATTGACATATCATATACACCACTATGTTGAAGTTATGCAATTAATGAAAAACTTGGGTCACAGGTTCCTCAACAGTGCATTACAAGACATCTATCAATATGTGTGTATTCCTCCACCATTAAACTCAAATTCTGCACATGTCTTATACTATCTACATACATAAGAGTATAATTAATATATATATAATATCAGTTAAAATAAGTGCTTCAACACAGTTAACATTGCAGGAAAGCAATATATTAGACGCTAAGTACTTTGTCAGGCTTAATATTTATCTGTAGATAGATACCCCCAAAGCTTTTTCTTATTTGAAAGAAAACCTAAAGTATTCTTTAATGTGTTAATAAAGGTTAATTAGTTTGTCTGTTTTGCACATCCTCCTATTAATATCTTTGTACATCAGGCACTAAACTGTTTTATTGTAGAGATCACTTACAGTATCTTCTTGATTTTTTATATTCTATATTTCTATCATTGACCTTCTACTTTCCCCCTATGAAAGTATGTACTCTTAATATTTTATTCATCAAATAACATTATTCAACAAAAATAACATTATTCAACAAAAATGATTAAATAACGTGCTTTAACCACTAGGCGGTGCACACAAGGTACACACAGTATACTAATAATAACTTTGTATTATTAGTGTAGGACACTTATGTATGTATAACATCTGAAGATGTGTAGTTTTATTCATGTTTTTACATAATTTTACAGGATATTGCTATATTATTTCTCATGTTTACTTCTACACATTAATATCTGATTTGTAAAACATCACAGACAGAAAGGTATATCCGTCATTTAATGGTAAGCTATTGAAATTGTGATTCCATAGATGTGTCTCCCATCACCCAAATCCCCTGACTATTCTCTCAACTCAGTATTTACATTCTTATATTCAAAGAAAATCAGTAATATCTTTAAAAACTACAAGTCCTTTTCTATCAGCTGTGCACCGTTATGGTGTAAATATAACCTATCTACCAATTGGATCAAATATAAAAGTCAGCCGTATTAGTATTGATACTGCAAGGAGACGTATTTTGTGAAAAGAAATGTAAGATGTTGTTTAATTGTTGATATATTTATGATCCACGTCACGTATTCAGTTTCGGCGGCAGTTCTTCCTGTTTGTCCAGAAGTCTTCTCATCAGGGCTCTATAAATAAAGAACTATGGCAGATGTGTAATATTTAATGCAGCCGAACCGTGTATTACAATGCCGTTATGTGATGACTTTCAAAGAGAAAAGCAAGAACACTCGGAATAAAGTATTATTTTTTTTTTTTTTAATGTTTTCGGATTTCACATCGCATAAACACCATATCCCAACGTGCATTGCGGCTAAAACATCCAATCAGCGAGCTGAGGATCTTTCCTACGTCTGTTTCCAGTATTGTTCCTGTAATGAGAGTTCACATTTATGCTACATTGAAGGGTGGAATTGACTACACATCTTCAGAAACATAATTTGCTTCAGATATATACTGTAACTCATAGCAATATTGTAACCATTAAGAAAAGCCAACTGCATTAAAAACCCAGTTAACAAACACAAGGTAAAGTATTTTTCCTTCAGTAATGAAGATGTAATTCCAATGTAGACACACCTGGGGTCGCTGTTCAGTCTGTTACGCTGAGCCATGCATTGTCTGGAACGTAAAAGGGACGAAGAAGACAAAGTGAAGTGACGTACTTCCGGTTCAATGTGAAAACATTCCCAGTTAAACCATAGATATATATAAAAACATATGTTTATATATATCTATGAGTTAAACAACATAAACAAATCGCTTAATAAAAAGATAAAACACTGGCATGTAATTTACGTTTGGATTAAATAGAATGGTTTTGAATAATAGATGAGAGTAAAATCTACGTCACAGCCCCACCCACTTTTGGGGAAACCAACGCTGTCATTTGAACGGCGATCAAGCCTGAAGCCACAGAGCTCTTCTGCTGTCCTTAGAGGAAGTTTGAGGTGTTTGAGGTGCAATAAACGACACAGCAGCTTTTTGGCATGTTAAAACTCTGCCTCGCAGCTGGCGAAATTACAGCCTCGCCTACTGATTTTAATTTAACCATAGGATATCAAGCCCGATCGTCGATTTCAAATGTGTGCTCTAAAATGATATTAATAAATTACTATTATCATTATTATAAGCTAGAAAAGAAATGTCAAAGATAGGTAGAAAGCAAACGTATTTAAGATATGTTCAGAACAAACGTAACGTGGGACAAAAGACGTTTCTTGTTAAACGTAATTGAGAATGCTGTATGAAACGACTACAAACAATATTGTGATTATTAACCATTAACCAGCATAATAACGGATTTGGTCAACTGAAAAGTCAGCCGCCAGCCAGCGCGAAAATAAGTTTGCTCTAAAATGATATTAATAAATGACTATTATCATTATTATAAGCTAGAAAAGAAATGGCAAATATAGGTAGAAAGCAAACGTATTTAAGATACGTTCATAACAAACGTCATGTGAGAGAAAATAGGTTTCTAGAAGATATGTAGAAAATAAACGTATTTAAGATATGTTCATAACAAACGTAACGTGGAAGGAAATACGTTTCTTGCAAAACGTATTTGAGAATGCAGTTTAGTTTTGTGGGAACGTAATTTCTAGGAGACAGGGTTGAACGCTGACAGACCTCACAGAGCATGAATTCAGACTCTTTGCCATCATGGAGATATTCTGGAGGCATTCTTTTGATACCTTGATTTGATTAAACCACAGCAGTTATGATTATTTGGGGTTCATTGCACTTTATTAAAGATCATTAATTAAGTTAACACAAATGATGCCGCGCTCAAAGGTTTGCCCTTAAGTCTGATTTCATTGTAATATCACTGCACTATCAACGTTATAAAGGAAGACTAATGGCTTTGTTTCACTTCAGTCCCTGTAATAATGCTGATGTAGTAATTGTGATTACAAGGAAAGTCAGGAGTAATAAAGTGCCATCTGAAGTCTAGAGAATGCAAGTCAATGGAACCTCTTGAATGTCCTTTAGATGGGGATCCAATGCAGATCAAGAACTCCAGTGAATCAGACGGAGCCGTCTCTCTGCTCTGCTCTGCACTCTGCACTTTCCACCAGCTGGAGGTCACCTGGTCCAGAGACGGCCTCACCCTCCCTCAGTCTGGCCCCGCCCTCAGGCTCAGCGCTCTGACTGCAAAGGATTCTGGGAACTACACCTGTGCTTTGAAGAACGACCCCCGAACAGAGTCTCTGCCGTACAGACTGCATGTGGAGGCTGCAGACGGAGGTTTGGTTATTCAGTTTATTTGAGAGAAATAATGATTTATTCTCAATTATAATAAGGTGTGTGAGATTTTAACGGTTCGTTCTGCCAGATAAAATATGTCAGTAAATACCCCACTGATGACTTTTAAACAAGGCGGTTGCTAACAAGTTTCTAAATGAGACGACGAAACGTCATCACGCCCAACTAGCCACCTTTAGCTTAGCGGTGGTGACGTGAAGTCATGTGACCGTGCTGTAGTTCCTTTATAGCCCAACATTAGCCTCCTTTAGCTTAGCGGTGGTGACGTGAAGTCATGTGACCGTGCTGTAGTTCCTTTATAGCCCAACATTAGCCACCTTTAGCTTAGCGGTGGTGACGTGAAGTCATGTGACCGTGCTGTAGTTCCTTTATAGCCCAACATTAGCCTCCTTTAGCTTAGCGGTGGTGACGTGAAGTCATGTGACCGTGCTGTAGTTCCTTCATAGCCCAACCTTAGCCTCCTTTAGCTTGACCATGGAGATGATGCCTTCAGGGTCCAACACAGAAATCTGTCATTCTTATTTCCCAAAAATCTTTTTTTTCTTCTGTCCGTTTGTAAAACAGGCCTAAATACTACAATACCCATAATTCTCAGCTGTTGGTGGTAGTGAATGACATTTATTTGACTGAACTTGTACAAAATGTTCAAATAAAGAATCTTAAAGGATTGATTTAAAGATGGCAGCGAACTTACTGTAAGTCAGACAGCTCAGTGATTGTTGTTGAAAAGCATGCTGGGAGATGTAGTTGTTGTCTTACTGTTCTCCATCTTTCCGTTCATTGAACTGTTTCCCAGGAATACCTATGGACCCCATGCTGGTTGTTCGTCTGGTTCTCTTCACTCTGCACACTGTGCTCATCCTCACAGTGACAGCCATCCTCATCAGAAGGTCACTGAGAACACACACACACACACATACACACACACACTCACTCACTCACTCACTCACTCACTCACTCACTCACTCACTCACTCACACACACACTCACTCACTCACTCACTCACTCACTCACTCACTCACTCACTCACTCACTCACTCACTCACTCACTCACTCACTCACTCACTCACTCACTCTCACTCTCACTCTCACTCGCACTCGCACTCGCACTCGCACTCGCTCTCTCTCTCTCTCTCTCTCTCTCTCTCTCTCTCTCTCTCTCTCTCTCTCTCTCTCTCTCACTCTCTCACTCTCTCACTCTCACACACTCACACACTCACACACTCACACACACACACACACACACACACACACACACACCTTATTGCATTTCACTGCTAATGTTTAACTAACTGAAAATACTTTCTTCCAAATGGTCCATAAGAAAACAAGGGATCGTCGAACATGCTATTGATTTCCTGTTTCAATTATATTTCTATTTTATTACTCTTTTCATGCATCCCCATCACTCCATTCAGTGTCATTATTATATATATAGATGTGTGTTTGGAAGAAGCTGGAGGACGTTCCTGAGCCGGTGAGATCATCTGATTTTATTAATTTAATAGTTAACCTGCACGTCTTCATGGAGGCTCTCTGAGCGCTGCCATCATCACTTCCTGTTAGTGGGAGTACTCACATCTTCAGTAGAAGTACTCACATCTTCAGTAGAAGTACTCACATCTTCAGTAGAAGTACTCACATCTTCAGTAAGAGGGAAAAGTACTCACATCTTCATTAGAAGTACTCACATCTTCAGTAAGAGGGAAAAGTACTCACATCTTCAGTAAAAGTACTCACATCTCAGTAGAAGTACTCACATCTTCAGTAGAAGTACTCACATCTTCAGTAAGAGGGAGAAGTACTCACATCTTCAGTAAGAGGGAAAAGTACTCACATCTTCATTAGAAGTACTCACATATTCATTAGAAGTATTCAAATCTTCAGTAGAAGTACTCACATATTCAGTAGAAGTACTCAAATCATCAGTAAAAGCAGAAGTACTCAGATCTTGTACTTAAGTAAAAGTAGAAGTACTCAGATCTGGTACTTTAGTAAAAGTAGAAGTACTCAGATCTTGTACTTGAGTAAAAGTAGAAGTACTCAGATCTTGTACTTGAGTAAAAGTAGAAGTACTCAGATCTTGTACTTCAGTAAAAGTAGAAGTACTCAGATCTTGTTCTTGAGTAAAAGTAGAAGTAATCAGATCTTGTTCTTGAGTAAAAGTAGAAGTACTCAGATCTTGTACTTGAGTAAAAGTAGAAGTACCAGAGTGTAGGAATACTCTGTTACAGTGAAAGTCCTGCATTCAAAATGTTCCTCAAGTAAAAGTAGAAAAGTATTCTCATCAAAATATAGTGAAAGTAGCGACAGTAAAAGTAGTCATTGTGCAGATTGGTCCATTTCAGAATAATATATATGATATGTTTTATAATGATTGATCATGAAAGTGTTCTCAAAGCTGGTAAAGGTGCAGCTAGTTTGAATGACTTTGTATACTGCAGGGTAGCTTGTGAATTTACTCCAGGTGGAACTAAAGTCTGATTTAACACTTGATTATATTTCACATCATTCATCCACATCTGTGAAGTAACTAAAGGTATTCAATACATGTAGTGGAGGAAAAGTACACCATGTACCTCTGAACTGAGTAAAAGTACACCATGTACCTCTGAACTGAGTAAAAGTACATAATGTACCTCTGAACTGAGTAAAAGTACATAATGTACCTCTGAACTGAGTAAAAGTACACCATGTACCTCTGAACTGAGTAAAAGTACATAATGTACCTCTGAACTGTAACGTTAAATGGAAATACTCAAGTACAAGTACCTCAGCTGTACCTAAGTATAGTACATAGGTTCAGTACTTAGTGAATGTACTTAGTTACTTCCCCTCTCTGCTGATGAAGCATTGACTCTTTAAAGCTGGTGATTTAAGGAGCTGCAGCTGCCTCAGAGGTAACAGAACCTCAGATTAAATTCTCATGAGAAAAAGTTAAGTTCAGAAACAGGAACGTGTCCGTGATGAAAACGATGTCATCATTTCCTCTTTTTGCACTTCTTTTAACACATTTAATGAAATAAATTAAACTTCCCCATTGTCACTAAAAACTGTCCACTCTGACGGACGGGAGGCGTGTGGCGCAGTGGGTTGTGCGTTGGTGTTGGGATCAGGGTTCAAACCCCACTGCAGTCAGCATGTCGTTGTGTCCCTGAGACACTTCACCCCAAAGTGCTCCTGTGGGGATTGCCCACAGTATTGAGTATGTAAGTCGCTTTTATTGGATAAAAGCGTCTAACAAGTGACATGTGATGTAACAGAGAACGTTTTAAACTGCCTAATTTCTCTCTCTTTTAGCCTGAAGCAGGTTTTACTGTCTCTTTATTAACATGTCGTTTTTATTCTAACACTGAATCTCCATAATTTAAATGAAACCATATTTTCCTCACATTGTTTCCAACCAGTCTGCAGCGCCATCTGCTGGTTCCTAAAACACACAGCAGCTCCACCAGACTGAGGACAAAGCTCTACCACAATATTAATAAGGTGTCAGATCTACAGCTGATAATGTATCGAGTCCATTTGTTAATCCATATTTAATAAATATCAACAATCAGTCAGTCCATGAATCCATAATGAAATAATGAAAGATAAATGCAGAGTTTCTCTCTAATCTGAAGATCTGCTTCTTCCCTCTGTTTTATATTAAAGTGAATATCTGTGGACTTTTAAAAGCACCTCTTTGGACTCGGAGAAACTGGGATGCACGTTTCAATATGTTCTGATATTTTAAATATTAATGTAGAAAAAGATCGATGATGAAAACAGTTGTTAGAGGCAGCATTAATCTGATTATATTCCATATTAAAGGACTGAAGGGAGGATCTAGAACACCTGATGGACTGCTGGTGGATTTCACTCTGATGATTGGAGTTAATCAAATGTGCTGCCCTCGACTGAACGTCTATTTAATGTCTGCTTCCTGTTTCAGCCTGCAGACTTCCTGGAGGAGCTGTGAGCTTCTGAAGCACGGTGGGCATGATGGTGCATCACTTCCTCCGCCTCTCTTCTCACCCTGATGCCCCCATCACTCTGGAACAGGGTCAATCTGGATCCATGCCCCCATCACTCTGGAACAGGGTCAATCTGGATCCATGCCCTTACGCAAAGAAAATATATTTCCCCATATATTAACTGTCAATATATTGCATTATTTTGTTTTCTGATTTACTGGTTAATTGAAAAGATTTAATAAAGGAAATCTTGCTGTTGGCTACACCAACTGATACTGATTAATAATCAACAATGAAAACATATTTATTCATATCTACAAAATATATTGAAGATATATAGAATAATATATTGTGTTAATATATTACAATATATTGATATATAGAATAATATATTGTGTTAATATATTGCAATATATGGGATAATACATCAGTAATTGCCGCTTTCCATATATTGAGTAATATATGTAAATATATATAATATATTGGTTGTGTATATATGTGAACATACATTTACTATATATTAACATTTATATGGGGACATGGATGTACTCTATTCAGATTTATATGGGGACATGTATGTAGTATATATTCACAATTATATGGGGACATGTACTATATATATTCACAATTATATGGGGACATGTACTATATATATTCACAAATATATGGGGACATGTATGTACTATATATTCAGATTTATATGGGGACATGTATGTAGTATATATTCACAATTATATGGGGACATGTACTATATATATTCACAAATATATGGGGACATGTATGCGCTATATATTCACAATTATATGGGGACATGTATGCACTATATATTCAGATTTATAAAAGACCATGTACGTACCATATATTCTGAACATGAGTGCAATATATGTTCACAATGAGGAGAAATGCATGTTCTGATAAAAAAAATCTTTCATTTCATTTCATACCTTTATTTATGCAGGTGAATCCCATTGAGATCATTGATCTCTTTTTCAAGGGTGACCTGCTGCAAGTAGGTTCCACATGAATACATATAAACATAACAGAAAAACAAAAAGGACATCATACAGCATATTTACAGTGACTACAGTTTACATAGCTAGTAACATTTACAGGTTCCAACAGTTTCCGATTGGATAGCATCTATCCTTGCTTTAAAAACATTTAGTGGAACCAAATTGCTCAGACTGTTCCAAGTTAGCGGAGCTGCGCATCTAAAAGCTATCTTCCCTAAGACAGTCCTAGCAGTTGGCACATTTAATAAAACCACAGCATTCGATCTCAGGCAGTAGCCACTTACAATTCGCCGTGAGATCAGGGAGCAGATGTAGGATGGAAGTTTCCCTAACATGGCTTTGTATATAAAAATGTACCAGTGACTGAGCCTCCGTACAGTTAGTGTATATATAACAAAAAGTGTATCTCGAGCCGGTTTCTCAAACTTACCTACCCCACCTTTAATGATAATACGAGGTTTAACCTTTTGGACCTTAGTGTCCCTAATTGTGGCTACAACACAGTGATCACTCACATCATTAGCAAATACTCCCACAGATGAGTATTTATAGGGAACATTAGTTAAAGGGGGGGTAGGTAAGTTTGAGAAACCGGCTCGAGACACACTTTTTGTTATATTCCATGGAATGCTCTTAACATCCTGATAGCAATGAATATCTGAAGTGCTTTGACAAAAAATCCATAAAAAAAAACGTCATCTGTGGAAGCCGTAGTACTGTAAAAAGCACGACCAATCATCTGAGCCGGCCCGGCTAAAATAACTAGATGGCCTACCTGCCTGTCAGCCTTCCATCTGTGCACCAACTTATCTCGTGCCCTCATTGGTCATGTGTGCGTTCGTGTGTGTTGGAGGAGGGGCTCTGTAAGGAAGTAGCAGATTTCTTCCGGCTGTGTATTTTCAAATTCTCGAGCTGGTTTCTCCAAAATTACCTACCCCACCTTTAAGATGAGATCAATTAAGGAGGATTTATTAGGGGACTTAACGTTAGGGCGAGTAGGACTGTCTATAATCTGAGTTACATTCAATGAGATACAAAGGTTTTTAAAATCCTCTGATACTGTAGTTAACTAGTCCCAGTTAAAATCACCAAGTAGCACTATTTCCTTGTAGTCAAGTTGAGCTAAAAGATTTGCCAACGAAGACAAGGAGTCCTTGACAGCTAAGGGGGTCTGTAACAGCCCACCACCATGACCAGTTGACCCTTTGCTACTTCGATATTTAAGGCTAAACATTATTGTTGTTTACTGATAGATTTAGAAACCATCTTGGTTACAAAAAACTTATTTTTCACATAAATGGCAACGCCACCACCTTTATTAGATCGGTCGGTACGATATACACTGTAACCATTTAAGGAGATGTCAGAGGCCAATATGTATTTATTTAGCCATGTTTCTGATAAAACAATGACATCAGCGTCAGTCGAGCTCGCCCAAATGCGGACAAATTCTAGTTTAGGTAAAAGACTGCGCACATTCAAGTGGATGAAACCCAGCCCAGACCTAGAATTAAAATCAGCAGGAGTAGCGATCTCTAGCGACTACTACTACTGTGCGGTTCAGGGTTAGGTTGTACATTTCCTGATAGCAATAACAACAAGAAAACCAGGCATCTTTTCCTCTTAATCGACACACATACATTTTCATCTACTTTAAAATCACCAGCAAAGTCTGTGAAAGTGTGATTAGAGCTCAAGAAGCAGTCCTGAAGAACCATCATAGCAGGCAAGTGAAAAAGACAAACATATTTTGTCAAACATATTTTGTCGAACAGATTGTCTGCGACAAAGCAACCGGTAATTGTTTGTGTAACACATCCGACCCTTTGCAGGGGATGCCCACTGCGGGTGGCAGAACAGACCTGAATCCAGTAGACTTCTGTTGGAGCAGAACACCTATTGTGGTGGCTGATAGCCACCGCCTCTGCTACGCGCCGTTCGTTGGATGAGGCTGAAATCTCTATTAAATAAAGAAAGGAATTGAAAACACCGGAATCAAAAGTTATAACAATTATCTGAGTTTACTGGTAGGAAACCAAACACATATACAAGTTATACAGAGTACTCCGGACTTCAGGTTTGTGATGCGATGCGGATAAAGGTGTCGGGACCCGCCAACTCATCAAACAAAAAGAAATTGACTTCAGGTTTGTGATGCGATGCGGACACAGATATCGGGACCAGCCACTCACCAAACCAAAAAAGCATTTTTATATACAAAAACAACAGTATTCATATCCTTATTTTGGGGCAAAGATGTGTTGACTTTTCCCTTCCCCTTTTACTCCAAAGCGAATGAGAGAGTCCGTGAGGAGGAGCTGTGTGAGCTGCTCACATCCCCCAGGTGTCCTTACTGGCTGGATTCACTTCTGGTCGGGTTCAATAGTTCTCACCAGAACATGAGATTCCAAAGTTTCACAAGGTCAAAAGTCAATTCTTATCTCTGCCCCGATCTTCACTCCGTTACCTTCCCATGGAAGTTTTTCACATAAACTATTCCTTCTCAGACATTTAAACCTTTGTGCACATATTTAATGATGTCTTTAACGACCTTAAAAACAACATCTGTGTGTAGGGGTGAAAAGGAGAGGTGTGTGTGTGAAACAGGATCTCTGGGTCAGTGAGTTAAAAGTGAGAATATCATTTCTATATATGTGATTACCCAAAACCGTTGTGATTACCTAAAACAGTTCAAACAATACATGTTCACTAAAATACAATTCAAAATAATACATGTTTACTTCAATACAGTGTAGAATCATATCTTTTTACTTCACTTCTCAGGATGACTAGAGATCTTCTCATTGTCCAAAACAGTTAACAGGCACAGCAGAATCACGATATGGAACATTTTCCCAGACCAGCACACAGTATCCGCGATGTTCCTGGGGCAAAATCCTCCTCAGCACAGCAGCAAAGGACAGGCGAAAGCAGCAGCGTGGAAGCGCTCCGGTCTCTCCGTGGTATCCCCGGGGTAAAAGTCTCCTCAGCAAAGCAGCACACGACACCGCAGCACACGACAGGTGGGAGCAGGCCTCCGCAACAGCAGAACCAGGACAGGTGGAGAGCAGGCCCCAGCCGTGGTAAATCCTCCTCCGCACAGCAGCACACACCCGGTGGAAGCAGGCCCCAGCCCGAAGCGTGGAGCCACTCCGTCTCTCCACGATGTCTCCGGGGAAAATCCACCTCAGCACAGCCATACTCGACAGGTGGGAGTAGGCCTCCGCAGACCGCAGACAACAGGACAGGTGACCTGAGTGAGCGTGGATGCGACCTGAGTGAGCGTGGACGCGACCTGAGTGAGCGTGGACGCTTCAGCTCGAGTGGAGCTCTTCGTAAAGAAGGTGGTCCAGCTCACGGAGAGCATTGATCAGAACCCTGCACGCTGCAGCTCCTTTTTTTCGCACCGTGTCCACCACCTCTCGTGCTCCATCTCGTGCTCCGTCATTTCGGGATTTGGTTCTGGCTGACTCCATTTCAGATTCACTGATCACCTCAGACTCAAGGAGTTTATCCAGAAGGTCGTTCAGCACAGGTAGAGACACTCTTTGAATGAACTCTGCCCGAACTGAGAGCAGCCACTGGTCTGATGGGACTCTGCTCTCTGCTGGGTCAATTCTCTGGGATAATTGCCGCCTTGGAACTGGTAGATAAACAGGGAAAATACTTTTGTTGAATAACCAACAATCACATTATAATATGTAACATTTCCTCATTAAAATGTATAAAAACTCCTACACCGATGTTATTCATGTTCTGTTGAGTTGTGTACAAAACATTATCCCTAATGGTTCAGAGAGATGTGTAATTTTAATCAAGGTAACAGTACGTTCATCACGGTCTCCTGTAATGGTGGCGTATCCACTTAACCATGAGAAGATAAAGACTACAACTCCCATGATGCCACGCTGTTTCACCACCACACTAGTTTTTACCATGGTTTTAGGACTAATACAGGTTGTGTGTTTAATGTCGTAATGATGCGCTGCCATGGAGCCTTAATAGAGAATGCTATGAGATGGATCTTTAGAGTCATCCAGTCTATCACTGGGTCTGAGCTCAGGTGGAGTCTTTACCTTCCAGTGACACGCGATAATTCCAGACTACGTTTCCACCTTGATCCTTGACCTTCAAAGCCACTCTCTCTGTGTTTGTTGTCAGGGAAACTTGAAATGTCGGATAGTAATCTGGTCCAAACCTGGAATCAAATGTTTTACTCTGAAAACCAGAAGCAGAAGTTAAATGTTTATCTGGATCTTTCCTGATTGTGGATCCACATACAGATACATGTGAGTTAATGATCATTGTGTTTCTTTAGAGGAGCATCAGTGACTCACCTCAGGCTGAATGAAGAAGCCCTCAGGTTCACAGTGCACACTGTAACTGTGATAAATGTCCAGCTCACAGTCGGAGGAGATTGTGATGTGCACAGCACAGCTGTGTTGTTCAGCAACCTTCAGTAACAGGGTAACTTTAGTTATGCTCAGATATTCAAGGCAACTTTATTTAAAGATCACATTAAAGAACAACAAGCGTTGACAGACCTGCTCCATAAAGTGATGAGATATACAATCAATTACAACATAATTATAAGAAAATATTGCCTTATATTCAAAATAGATGATTTTAATTCTTTGAGATAAGCTATTGAAGAAGCTATTCCAACGTTAACCAAAACACAAACCGTCTGTGTCAGTTATACAACACAAAAGGCGGCTGCCCAAGCTGTAAAATGTGGCTGGTAGGGATGAGATCACGTTGTCTTGGCAGTGATTCATCTCAGCACGTCTTTCAGTTCTGTGTGATGTGTTTACCATTCGTGCCATCAGTTTCCGCAGACAGAAAGACATGCTGAGAGAGAATCATACAAAACCACAAAGAGCGATCTGAAGATTTACAGTTCAGATAGATCTTACTCTTCTCCCAGCACGAGAAGGTTTGAGAAGAGAAGCAGTGTGTGTGGAAACAGCTGTGGTTTAAACCAGTGTTTAGTCTGATGGTGAGCATCACTTTACCTTCTCCTGAAGGACGTTGTTCGGCAGCAGATGTACATCCAGTATTTGCTCCTCTCTGCCCGGGGGTCGTAGGAACAGCAGAATTTTGCCCTTTATCCGCAGAAACAGAACCCTTTTAAGGATATCGCAGACCAGGCCATAGAGAGAGAGGTGAGGCACCTTCACCACCACGTGAGTGCGTGTGACCTCCAGCGGCTCCAAGATGCTCAGGCCTTCATCAGTGATGTGGACGACAGACAACAGGCCATCCAGGAGCAGCGCTGTGGAGCAAAGAACTGGTCATCTGTTGCTTTGCTGCTGAAACAGCTTCATCATATTCAATGTCTCACCACTTTAGTTCAGAGCTAATGTTCATCTAACGTCATTCCCTTTGGAGCCTCACTAGGATGCTCCAGTTTATATCCTTCACCTTTTATTTTAATGTTTCATTATTGATCCGTCCCCTGTGATCTTTCTGGATGTGAGCATTTACTGTTATGTTTGTAATCTGCTGTCAGAACAGCTTGACTGAGTCCGGTCTCATGTCTGAGTGACTCTCTAGATGTGTGAAGAGTTCTCTAAAGCTTTCAGGGCGTAGAAAGTCTAACTTATAAATGTTGTTGTCTGTTGTTTTGTTTTGTTCATGGTTCAGCCAGACTGACAATGTAAAGAGCAGAAAGAGCAACAGATGGATAACAAAGTAAGAATTATTCAAACTGCTAGCTTAGCATCACAACAGTAACAGAGAGTTAGCGTTGAGTTAGCACTGTTAGTAGCTGAGCATGCTGTGGACTGACCAATCACAGTTTACATCTCTTTAATATTACAGTGAGGAGACTGCAGAGGGCCCAAAGACAATCCAACTCAGTATTTAGAGCTGCATTGCATCGTCTGCTTCAATATTGTCATGCAACACATCGACTAAATTGACTTTTTCATAATCTAATTTTCTTCTTTTGTGGACAAAACTATTTGAATGTAAAGAATACATTTGGTGTCTGCATTATACTGTTGCTATCTTTGTTACTAGTTTAATAAAGCTGATTCATAACTCTTGAGCGGTAGTGGACAGTATAAGGTGCTAATCATTATATAAGTTTGTATTTGTTAACACTAGATGTCTTTACCATCCTCTGTCTCGCTGTGTGGCAGGTGGAGCTGGACGACGGCAGCTTCAACAGAACTCTTCACGTCGAACAGCGGCCCTGCTGCCTGCTTGCCAGCTGATTGGAGGAGGCTCTCCTCCCAAGGGACCGTCCTGTACAGAAGCTCCGCCTCCTGAGCCATGACGAACACCAGGCCAGTCGAAGCACACTGGAACACACCTGGACCAGGACACCTGAACCTGTAGACACACAGGGGACAAGTTACTACAACAAGCCTTCACTGGCCTGTGTTCTGACTGACAGGCGTTCATCCAGCTGGAGTCTGACCTGGAGGAGGGTTTGTTGAAAGATCTGAAACACCTGATGATTACAGGAACATCACTGAAGATGTGTCCACATGCATCAGGATGTGTGTGCATGTGTGCAAAAACAAAACAATCCTATACACAGAAGCATTATTTTATTTATGTCTGTTAGAAAGAGATTGGATGCAATACCTCAAGGTGAAAGACATGAAATTAAACACAATAAAATAAACTTATATTTTGAATGTGTTTAAATAATGTTTGGTCATGTAAATAGCATTACCTGTATGAAGATCCAGTTGTGTGTTCAGGTGAGAAGGATTCAGGAGCCTGGAACAAACAAAGTTATTTATTTATTATTTGAAAAATGCAAATTAGTCTGGATCATCTGAGTTCATTGTCAATTTCAAACGGTAAAAACACAGTATTACCAGCCAATCACAGCACAGTATTACCAGCCAATCACAGCACAGTATTAGGCCTGAATGTCTCAGTAACAACTATTTTAATACATCTAAATCTACATGTATTGAAGTTACGTCCCCACTGGGGGATGAGGAAAAGCAACATACACCAGTTGGAATTGGTAATTATTAAAAGGAGTTTATTGATAACAAAATAACAAAATGGAAGGCAAGCAGCCTGGAGCAAACAAAAAGGCCAAAAGGGCGCAGGTTTAAATGAGCAACCAACAAAGGGAGGACTCTAAAAAGAGAGCCTAATTAAATACAAAGGAATAGATACTAACAAACGAAAATAGCAACAAAACAACCCTCACTATCAAAGTGGTACAAACTAATAAAAGGAGGCTGTAGGAAAACACAGCTATGCTAGAGGACAACAGTCAACGTAATACAAAGCTACTCTAGACACCACTAATCACAACACTAAATTAAATACGGACCACACGAGTTAAACACTGTTAACAGCTTTGTCTATGAGCGATGAGCAAATAGCGAGAGGCGTCTGTTCACACATCAGAACCTCCAGACTGATCGTTGTCCACAGGCTTTGTATTCGTCTCCGGAAGGTATGCGCTGGATGTGCGCTGTGATTGGAGCGTGTCGGGCCCGGCACGCTCCAATCACAATCTTCGGGGGCAGGCCAGGAGGTGAGCAGCCAAGGACATCAGGGCAACCGCTCATTTACATAGAACACAGTTAAACAGAGTTAACAGGACCGGGGAGGCGGCGGATGTAACAATTGATGATGTCAGTCTTTTTGAAGCCTTCTTTATCAATTGTTTTTAAGTTAAAAGACACATTCAGATAATAGTCGGCAGGAATATTTCCCATTTCTCCGGTAAATTGAAATCTTCCCGGTCCTTTTTCAACGATAACCTTATGGCGAGCGCTATCTGTTCCTACAGTGGTGACCCTGTCCTCCATCCTCTCCTTTGCAACTTCAATAAACTGGAACATGCTTCATCAAAATGCCTTCCCTCCGTTATCAGCCACCTAAAGAACTAGTTAGTAGTAGTTAGTCATGGATGTGATTCTGTTCCCTGCTAAACTGAAACTATTCGAGAAAAACTGAAAAATCTGAGTGTTGAACAACCCACAAGATGTGGCACAGGGTCGACTGGAGTATGGTGTTAACATGGAGAGTCCAGCAGGAGAACCGGACTTGGAGTCTACTCTTCAGGCTTCAGGCTGGCAGACACACCGCTCCAGGAACCGGAGAACCCCAGGAGGTGAGCTGATGTCGGACGTAAAAACATTAATTGACTCGCTTGATCGGCATGAAAGAGCAAAGGAATGAACAGGTATGTGTGGAGGGAGTTAACTCCTTGCAGACGTACATGGAAAACAATAAATGAACAAATAAATGACTGAGCCACTCGGAATCTTTTCCAGATTTGACAACACAGAGCATAACATGTACAATTTTGAATATGATGTCGATTCAGAGAATCATGTGTTTAATCATATAAGTGACTCGTGTAAATATTATACCGATGATCAATTTAATGACAATGTTGGACTTGAAAATACATTTGCTTAAATACATTTCAACTGCAGGAGTCTGTATGCAAACTTTAATAAGATCACTGACTACCTAGATACATTTAAAAGTAAATTCAAAGTAATTGCCATATCGGAGACTTGGTTAAATAAAGACAAAGTCACTGATTTCCAAATTGAGGGTTACGTGCTGCACCCAGCGCCATATAGATAGAAGAGTGAAGACATCTCCGTTCACTCCAATGGACCAGTTTTTTTACAGCAATGGCGGATCGTGGAGCCGTCAATAGTTCCCCCGGAAGTCAGCGGCAAGCTAACTTCCTGGGAACTATTGAGGCTATCTGCGGCTAGCAGCGCAGTAGAGTTGCAGCATCATAGACCGTTCTTGATGGACTTTTAAAGGTAAGAAGACGTTTAAAGATTTATATTGCGGATATTATCAGCACATCTGAGTCAAATGAACATGTGTATTAAAGGATGTTAGTGGATTATAACGTTTACAGATAACAGATTAGGCTAGGATACCGGATAAAGTTAGCAACACACGGTAACCATGAACAGTTATTAATCCGTTTTCCTAATGTTATTTCATCCAACGTTGTGGAATTAGAGAAAAACGTGCTTTTATCCGGGGTGGAGGGAGTTAAATATTAGTTAAATATAACATTGGTGATTGTAGTGGGTGGAGGTGGTGAAATGAGGATATCCATTTTGGAGTTCAAGCTAGTATAATATAGTTAACGTTACACAATAATAAGGAAGAGAGCTATTTGTGTGATACATGGCTATTGATATGGATTTAGAGTGCATATTTGAGACTTCCAAACAGTAAACATAAGCGTAACTTATGGGTGAGTGTTTTTAGTGTATTCTGTTGATTATTACCTGTCTGTATTATGTTGCAGCTCAGCTGATTTTGGACTGATGGCAAAGGGAGAGGGACTTAAGTGAGAGTGAAAACACAAGGTAAGTTTAAAATAGGTCAGCCATTTCCCATCCTATAGGTTGCTAGATGTATCTAACCCGTTCTCCTGTCTTTGTCTCCCTCTCTCAGCACAAGAACCCCAGGGGGATTCATTGGAGCCTGAAGACCTGCAATGAGACCCTCACCCTCACCCTGAGTTTCAACTCCCAGAGTTTTGCAAGCCTCTCCCTGTTCCTTCTTTTGATTAAACAGACATTAAGCTTCCCAATGGTGTGGTCTTCGTTTTGTGAAAAATATGATTACCTCACATATATTGTTGTTGTTGTCTTTTGTGATAGTTAAATTGCTCCTGCTGACTTGAGCCAGCCATTCTTTCCTCCTCTCTGTGTCAGTGGGGAAACCGTACATTCATACTCCTTTCTCTGAGCGATTGGAGCATCCCCAGGCAGCACAGCAAACCATGGTGGAGACGATATGCCAGGACAACACGGAGGAAAAGGCACAGACAAACTGCATGACATGCTATTCAATGTTTATTGAATTCCATGTATTTACAATGGATGTTCCTAAAACAACACTTTTAACATCATCATCATCATCATCATCATGCTGCTGCTGCTAGTCCTTTGACTCATTGTGCTGTCAGTTGACAATCATTGATAGGCACCTGTCGGTCTCCTGTCCTTTCTGAAAGTCATAAAGATGACATTAGTCATTTAGATTACTTATGTCCTCAAGTACCATGGGATTACTGAAACCACCATGAATTAAAGAAATGGTAGAAATTATTCTAATCTGAATTTTGAAGCCTTCCTTCCCATCCCTCTAAATATATCAATAAACATTAGGATGTGATGTTCTTGACTACCATACAAGTTTAAGAAGATAATATTTGTTTTAAATCATTCAAAGCAATAAACAACAGCAACAGGCTCTGTAACCAAGGCAACGTTAGCCTAACATGTGTTAACAGGTAAGATAGCTGTTCACACTATCTATGTATATTTTCTACTTTTTGTAATGCTATTTTATTTCTATTTAAGATGTTTACATTTTCGATTGTTTAATTCTAGTCTTTTAACTGTCTAATGTTCAATGCCTTGTCTTTTGCTGCTGCAGCGTAAACATTTCCCCAATTGGGATCAATAAAGTACTTCTTATTTTATCTTAATCCTCAAATATTAGCACATTTTACTTAAAAAATGTAACTACATACACATATCGATATGTTGTATAAATATTGCAAATCAAAACCTTTATTGACCACTAATTACCAAAAATTGCATTTCTATCCTGTTATTAATGCATTCAAATCGTGATTCAAATGGCCGCCACGAACTTCCGGGAGCTTCCTGAGTCTCTCTGAACCACGTGACGATCAAGCATTTTGGACCTCCGCTGTCGTAACTCTCTCTCTATATGGCGCTGGCTACACCATATCAACAGAACCAATAAGAGAGGAGGGGGTGTGGCTCTTTATGTGGACAGCGTCTTAAAATGCACACTGGTTGAAAAAATGACAATTGTGATGATTTAATGGAATGCATAACTATAGAAATTGAAATGGAAAAGAAGAGAAATGTTGTTGTGACTTGTGCATATAGAGCACCAGGATCAAATGTAGAGATTTTTAAAGATAGTTTAGGAGTATTAATGGATGGCCTAAATGAAAATAAAACATGTATTATTTGTGGGGATTTTAATATCGACCTTCTAAATGTATCTAAACACAAAACAACTTCTGATTTCCTGGATGCATTGTACAGCAGGGGGCTTTATCCCCTAATCACCAAGCCCAGTAGAATAACATCAACTTGTGCAACATTGATCGACAATATCTTTACAAATGTCATGGAAAACAGTGCTAAGAGTGGGCTAATAATAAATGACATAAGCGATAATTTACCCCGTATTTGTGCACCGTTTATGGCGTAAATACAGCCTATCTACCAATTGGATCAAATATAAAAGTCAGCCGAATTAGTATTGATACTGCAGGAGACGTATTGTGTGAAAAGAAATGTAAGATGTTGTTTAATTGCTGATATATTTATGATCCACGTCAAGTTTTCAGTTTTGGCGGCAGTGCTTCCTGTTTGTCCAGAAGTCTTCTCATCAGGGCTCTATAAATACAGAACTACGGCAGATATGTCATATTTAATGCAGCCGAACCGTGTATTACAATGCCGTTATGTGATGACCTCCAAAGAGAAAAGCAAGCACACTCGGAATAAAGTATTATTATTATTTTTTTTTAAATGTTTTCGGATTTCACATCAACAGGAGTCCGGTTAACTAAAATGTCCGTGCGGAACAATACAAACCCATAGATCCGTGGGTGAATAATGTCAATCACCACATTACACACATCCCTTCACATTTACATTTTAATTTACATTAAAGTATGTCGTGAGGCCTTCTAAAATATAATTAGGGTTGTA